CCGCTCGGGTGGAAGTCCGCAATAATTACTATGATCCCTAAGCCCGATAAGGACCTTTCCGACCCTTCTTCCTTTCGTCCTATTAGCCTTCTCAGCTGTCTCCAAAAACTCTTAGAAAGATTTCTTACCTCTCGCCTTAATGATTACCTGGAAACCAATAATTTACTCTCTCCCTCTCAATCGGGCTTTCGTAAGAATCTTTGTACAACCGATCAGCTCGTTCGGGTAGTAGGGTCAGAACATTCTCTGCGACGTCCCGGCTAGACCGCAGCCCGGGAAAGAAGAGCAGGCATCCTCCGTGGGACGCAACCGCTTATCCCTTCTCTCTACCGCAGTTCGTGTGGAGACCATAGGAGCATCCATGACAATCGAGTGGGAGATCCCGAGCGACGCCGGCCCCGGACACCAGGACTCCGCAGCGCCTTCGGATCCGGAAGAAGAACTGGTCTTGATAGTGGATGAGTAGAGGGAAATAAAAACACCTGTTTTGTTGTCACCGCATCCCCTTGTGATCTTGTTTCCACCCGGACCCCACAACGGACTACGACACGAAAAAGTCGTACCGTAACAATATTATTATCCAGGACGCTTAGACCAATGCCATTTCTGTGCTCACGCTTCACCTAAACAAGAACATAAATAGCCTTAAACTGCTTTCATGAATGACGTATTTTCTCTTGGTCAACTCTAGGTATCATTAGGTAGAGTTAGAAAAAGGGATGCCATGAATGTACTTCTGCCTAAATATAGATATGAAGACGATGAAAGAACTCCCCATACGGTGAACGTAGTCTATAAAGAGTTATTGCGTTAAAACTCTCAAGTGGCTTATATGGTTCACGTGGCTGCTATTACTCACTTCTACTTTTTCTTAGAGTTAGACATGCAGTCATGAGTGTGTCGACCATAAGCGGGAATTGAATACACCGATAGAACACTAAACGACGCACTGACAAATGATACTTGGTGATCCTCATGCTACATGTCACATGGCGTTACTAAGAATATGTTCTAAGACACCTTTGTTTTTAAGGTGTCAGAGCCAACGGTGTGGGAATTGAACCCGTGGGCAAAGGAGTTTGACCGCATTACTAGGGGTGAGCATGGAAAACGGATGACTTAAACCGAAATGCATTAGTGATTTCCTTAGGTCGCAGAGCGCCGAAGGCGCGTCAATTGCAATTGTCAATTGGTTTTGAAATATTGCTTCAAGCAAGTCCGTCCAGACTTCATACAAGTTCTACAGAGCCAGCGAACGGAGATGGTTCAAAATTCCGTTCCCTGCAATTTTTCTCGAGACACTTCGAATTTAGCCTCAGTTCCGCATGGCGCATCGACCGCGACTGCAGCCACTCGCTTTCAACCGCCTTAAATGCGACTTGGCGATCCGATTCCATCGAATGCGAATCCGCCGACGGAGAGAGAAGAAATGGAATTCCTCCCTTCCGTTTCATTCGCTTAAAGAAACGTGATCTGAATAAATCATCCCTTTTCGCGGTTCTCGACCGAGTTCCAGGCAGGATGCCATGGGCGTGTCTTTTTTCTCAGCGGCTCAGCTAGCTCTGCTGAGGCCTCCAGCATCCCATGACGTCATGTTAGGGCTGAGCTGCTCAGCGCTCCCATAGTTCGCTATGTTACTAGCCAACGCGTCTTTTTCGCTAGCAGCTGCTAGCAGCTGCTAGCGGCTGGAGAAAAAGACACGCCCCATAAGTCGGCCTCACCTCACTAAAGACGACGCTGAGGTGCTTCAACTTTCACGGTAGACTCTCCCTCCCCCATCCGTCTCATAGTTGAAGTAGCAGTGCATCGTTCTGCCGAGAGATGGCACAAGTGTTGGAAGCGTCATGGCTCCCCCCAGGTTACACGTGGCTGAATGCAAGTTCCGTATGGTGGCGAGCGGCGAACTTGCCCTTGTCAGGTCGAAGGTGTGTCCTCGCCCTCATTGAGGTCATTGGTTCTTCATGTATCCAATGGACATAGTTGGTCCTTTTGTGCGTTGATAAGGTGAAGTGTGGTTGGTTTTTGCCCATTCGATGACAGCAGCAGTACGAAGAGGGACGAGTGTAAGAGGAGTAATTTAAATTATCGTTTTACACCCAGCTCCTTGAAGCACCAAATGGTTTTTTTTTTTAACGTGCTACTGGAAGTCGCGAACTTACTCATTTGGGTATGGGGGGGGATTCGGAATGATGGATTAGGCTTCAAGTGACTCAAATTCTGAATGCCTCTACTTGGGTGGTAAGTGCTTTAAACATGTTTTGCGAAGGTTTACAATTTACTCCCTCTGTTAGTAACTTTTAGAACAGGTGATGCATTCGGGTGATGTCGCAAGTTGAATATGTGACTCAGGTGTTGGTAACAGTGACTGGGTTGCACCACAAGTATCTCACATTTTTTGTTCAATCTTGCCTTGGGACACCAATAAGAGCAGGAGTGTCTCATGGTGTACAATCCAAACCATAAACACCTGAAAATGAATTCTGATGGGATATGAATGTGAGGAATCTTGCAGACATCAGAAGAAAGATGATTGCTTGATAGGCTACACTTATGTGATGAACCTTAGAAAGATGACTGTGTTAGTGACTAATTTAGCATGAGTAGACAAAGGGTTAGAGTTGATGCCTGCAAAAGAAAAGATATTAAAGAAAGACAGGGTTGTATTGCTATAGAATATTTTTCTCCAAATTGACATGCTGAGATAACTTATCACACATGGTAAAGTCCAGTAGTACCCTAGAAACTGAGGTGACCAAGGGCTGGCCATCAGGTTCCTAGAGGAGCTCTGCTGGTCTTCTTCAATTCATGTAAACTTTTTTGGTCCATATTTTCTTTTCATTTCTTTAATTTCCTTTCTCTATCTAGGCCTATGAATATGCTTCTCTCTGGTTGCCTTGGAATGCTAGGTTATTCTTGCAATCATTAGGGAAGTGTAGGTATACATCAGAGACATAGTAATATAACTAGACTCAACAGGACAGTTGAAGTTCTCTTGTCGATTTGAAAGAATGTCGGCCATTACCATTACAGTCAACCAGACAATGAGGCATGGTATTCACTTAGGTGCATGGTAATCATGCTCAGCGTGTGTCCAGGATTTGGATGCTCTGAAAGACCAAAGGCTGGGTCTTATATCACATTTCACATTTCACATTGAGGAGTTGAACATGATAGCAGTTGGTCATTTTGATGGGTTGTACCTTGGATGAGGTGGGTTTTTCTATGCCCCATGTAGGCCTAGGACCTAACAGTATGGGAAATGACTGTTACATGCATGAGTTTTGTCTGATGTTGCAAAGTACAATGAAAATATAAATTGGGTTTCTCCTCTTCATAGACTTTTCAAAGATGGCATAGTGGTACAAATTAATTTTCAATGCACTATTGTTAGCCCACAAAGATAGGGTAGGCCTAGGCCTGCAGTATGCTGCCACTGTTCTCACTATTCCCATTGTGTATTACCACGATGGGAATAGGATTATTTTCTTGCGAAGTCACTTTTTTTCCAAGTGGAGTTAAATGAAGCCTCCACTACCATGGTGAATGCCTGAACTCTCTGTGGAGTGTGAAGTGATTACGCATAAACCCTAGTAGCATATAACATTGAATCAACATTGATTCAACTTTGGTTCAATGTCTGGATATTGAATCAACTTTGAATCAATGTCATTTCAATGTTATATGCTACTGGGGAAGCTGTGTTTGTTGGGAGGCCTGATGACACGAGACATGACAACCACTCCTAATTGTTGTGTGACTGCAGTGTGTTCCCCATTGGCATGCGCAGTCTAATTACCATATCTTCTGGTATATATCATTTTCAGAAAATTTTTAAAGAGTGCCTATCCTTACTCAAAAGGAAATAAAGCCACCTTATTTCCCATTCTCAAATATGTTTTGAAGGAATAAGAGCTTGGAAGAAATGTAAGAAGACTCATATTCTAGTGTGTTACATGGAGAACCAGACCAACCCCACCTCCTCCCTCCCCCATTCAGGTTAAGAAAATAGATTGTGGCTAAAATTTGGCCTCAGGCAAGTGCTACCTTAGTTCTAGTTAGAGACATGTTTTGTCTACCTTCATGCTTTGAACTGAATTCAATTGCTTCCATTACCCATTTTGGAAATATAATGTTTGCAATTGATTTTGCCTATCTCCTTTAGAATTTATGCCCTTCACTGTCAATTCTTACCTGTTTATTGTCCTGTTAGAACTGAGGTTTGCCTAATTAGTGATGGCCCAGCCATATTATTTTACAAGAGGCATTTTTGTCCTTGGGATCTTATGTTGACATGGTACATTTCTATCATAGTTAGCTGTGTGTGTGGCAAGAAGCTTACGATTTTATACTTTCCCATTTCCATGCCTTGCCTTCAGTTCATGTCATAATGTTTATAGGAATGATGGCCAAACTACAGGTGATTTCTCCTTGAAAAATAAAAGCAATTCATTTTTAGGCCATGTTGAGTACTGTTCATATTGTCAACTTATGGGGCTAGGTTGAAGATGTGATTGCCTAACATTAGGCTGACTTTACTCCTTTTATCCTCTCCTGTATGGCAGATGAGGTAGAAGGCAATACTAGGTTGAGGCCTATATCCTTTGAATAATTTCATTAGTATGCCTTTTAGCAAGTCAATCAATTTCTCTTTTGCAGAGCCTGTGATTTAATTCTTGTAGATACCTGGAAAAAATTGCCATGTTTCCATCGAGGCCAACTGGACCCCAGCAACCTGGCCATCATGTGTTTGAACAGGGAATGCAGCAAGGTGTTCCCTTTCACCCACAGAGTGGTAATTTCAGGCCTGTGCAATATCAAGTTCCAACCTATGGACCTGTCCTGGCCTCGGCAGCATCTTATGGTAGAGGGCTAGGCCTGCCTGCAACGTCTCCATTTGTTGGATCCAGTGTGGGGATGAGTGTTGTCCCTCAGCAGCCTGGAGTTGGGATGCCGCAATATGCTTGGCCTCAACAGGGCATTCCACGAGTCCAAGGCCTCTCTTGTGGTCCAGCTCAATACCCTTCATTTTATCCTATGATGACAGCTGTTCCTTGCCCCCCAAATGCTCCTGTGCAGGTTAGTGAGAAAAAAGGGACCATCAACTTAAAAAAAGGAGAAAAATGAAGCTGTCAGTACCCCTATCTTTGTCTTTGAAGCAGTTTAATTCCATGGTAAACAAAAGCCCTTGTTTCTCATTGCAGGCTCTTGGTTCATTGCGACCTGAATCAAAGCAGCAGCACAATATGGATGAACATGAACTCACTAGGCAGCGCCACTTCTTTGAGCAGCAGCACAGGCTGAAAGCCTTCCATCCTGGTCAGGTGAGCCCATGGGACTAATCTTTCCACTATTGTGCTTAAGTTATGGTGTCAGCCTCTAAAAACTGGCTAATTTGTGGTTAGGGGACAAGATCAGCTGAAGATTTCATTAAGAGCATGATGGGGACAGTACCAGAAAAAAAAGAGACCAAGAAAGAACCAGGGATTCAAGAGTCACCTGAGCAAGCTATCCCATCTGAAAGCAATGACTCTTTTGGGGACTTTGTTTCATCTGGCTCCTCAAGTGAACTCCCATCCATGGTAATCCTCTCTCAACATTTCTCTACCTGACTGTTTGAATTCATTATCAAGATCTCTAAAATGTCTGAAACAGATGCCTGCAGGGGGTTCTTGTACACAGACATCACAGGTTGCTCCTGTGGGTGGAATGCAAGAGATGCCCCAAGTTACTGCTTCACATGAACAGAAAAAAGAAGTCCCTGCTGGTCCTAAATTGGAGGACCTGATGGAGCGATTCTCTGATCTGAGTCACCCATCCAAAGGGATGGATTTCCATAAGAAGAAGGCAGTTAGGGACCTGGAGGTAGTTCCTTCTTCTGGTTGGCATGGACCTATGAATCTTTAGAAATTTATTTGAATCAAGCTAATAAGAGGAAATTTTCTATAGGTGGGACATAAGGCCCAGGTATCTCATACCTTCCAGGCGAGTGGGAAAGCTGTGAACTGGTCCCATCTCCCTGATGTCCAGGGAATGTTCACTCTGAGGTCACAAAGTGACAGGCCTCTGGAGGGATCAGTATGTTTGTGCTGAATTCAGAGCTGTATCTTGTTGTTAAATAGGATAACAAATGCAGCATCCAATGCCTTGCAGGATGTGGTGTTGCCCCGATGGCTGATCGATCCGACTGCACAGCGACCTGAGTTCAAGTACTGGCTCTCAGTAGTCATGGGAGAGAATGGACACTTGGATGTAGGGAAAGTGTTTGCCCTCCTGTCTTCATCTGGCCTCAGTCGTGAAGGGCTCGAGAGGATCTGGAATGCAGCCCGAGAGGATGCCATCCCAGGATCCCCACTCACTCCGCTCCAGTTCATGACCACACTGGCCATGATTGCAATCGTTCAGGTACAGCCAGACCAAGATTTTTCCCATCTCATTACCTTTGAAATCTGATTTGACTATGCATTGGCATCAACAGGGTGGAGGTGAAGTGCCTTCAATGCTGTCTCTGAGAAAGCTATCTAATTGTCCCATCCCATGGTTGAACATTCAGAGGTCTCAGCCATCTCCCCTTGGTGGGACTCAACCTCCTCCTTCTCCTCTGGCAGCACAGTCTTCTCCCCCTACGGCAGCACAGCCTACTCAGACAATACCGCCTCCTGTTCAGACAACACAACTACCTCCCGTTCAGATGGGCCAATTTCCTGTTCAGGTGATACAACCTCCTCCAACTCAAGTGAATCAACTTCCTCCAATTCTGATGAAACATCCCCCTCTATCTGCTGGTGCCCAAGTCCAGTCCACTTCTGATCAAGATGAAGATGAATGGAGTGACTTCACAAGTGCACCAGTGGATCATACAACTCCATCTGTTAGTGCCTATATGACTAAACTTCACATGGGAGGGGAGGTGGGATCCAAATCACAATCACAAGACACTGTCAGTTTGATGTCATCTGAAACCAGAAGTGCATCCCAGCCTCAATCCAAAGATTCCACAGATGACTTTGGAGACTTTGAGTCGGCCCAATCTAGTTCCATCCCTCCGAAGCAAGGCATGTCATCTCAGGATAAGTATTCTGCCCTGAGGGAACTTGAGGAATGCTTGGAAGACATTGAGAGAGAAGTGGGTCCATCCAGCCAGAAGACTCAGCCTCCAGATCTTCTCAAATGGGACTTGTTAGAAGGATCAGATGTAGTGGATACAACTGAGACCAAGTTCACACCAGATTTCTCAGCATTTCTGACAGCAGAAGCTCCTAAGGGCTCTGAGACACATGCTAGCCACACAAAAGTTCCTTCTCCACCGGAGATTTTTGAGTGGGACATGGGAGCATCTAATCAAGACTGGGGAGACTTCCAGCAGGGCAGTTCAGAGACCCCCAGTGGTGCACCTGCTATAGCAGAGAAAACCCAAGATGATTTTGCAGACTTCTTGGCTCCTCGTACTCCAAAGGCAACCGATGAGACAGTCTCCCTGGCAAGCCTTGAGTTGGCAACCATGAACCTGGATGGAGGCAGCCGTCATGGATCCACGCCGAGTCTCGATCTGAAGATGTACGCCAGGGACGAAAGTCCGGCATCCATCGATGACCCGACCTGGCATGTGACCCAGGTCCCTCAAGATGAAGTCAAAGGTCTTGTCTTCAATGTTGCTCCTCTGCTGGGGTCTGACAAGTATAGTTCCTTCAGGGATCTGGACAGTGAGGTGCGAAGATGCTTCTCTCTTTCCCTCTAAAACCAATCACTACTCTATCTTATGCATCTTGGGGTCTTCAGTAAAATTATCCTGTTATTAAATAGTCATTTTTATCTTTTGACAATCTCCTAATAGAGGGAAGGACTACCCCACTTGATATGTCTGATGTAGTGGTGTGAATTCTATTGTTTATTTCCTTTGATTGGTGCACAGGAATGCGATCAGCACACGAAAGAATGGGAGAACTGTCTGTATTGGTGTCATGCCACACTGAAGCAGGCCATAGATCTCTTCAGAGGACTCGGCTCCGAAGACGTCCAACTGGAAGTTCTCGAGGGAGAGGAAGGAAAGGCATATCTTGAGAGTAAATTTATCCCTTCTATTTGTTGTGACTGATATAGCGGTTGCTTTGCCTTCATCTGGTGGCAATAACTTTTGCAGACCTACTGGAGGTGTATCTGGTGGCACTGCGGGTGCTCCAGTCGGCCGGTCAGAGCAGCTGCACGTCGGAAAAGATGCGGGTCCATGAGAAGTCCATCGTGGACACGTGGGGTTCGCTTCTCCCCTTCTTTAAGAAAGCCAATGCCGACGTGCGTCCCGAAGACGTGGCGCATCCGCCCCCAAACGCCTTGGGAGACTCCCCCGACAACGCATGTGGGATCTGCCTCTTGAGCACCGAACACGAAGGAAGCCGTCGGGTGAACAGGCACCTGGTGTCTTACGGGGGACGCAGGTACCATGCAGCCTGTGCCAACTTCTGGGTGAATTGCATCAGCCCCATTTTGCCTGCTCTGCCTCTAAGGGCTCTGCTTTGATGGAGATGTACTATAATTATTTCCCACATTGCTTTTGATGCTAATCGATGTTTATTCATTGAAACATCAGTATTCCATAGTGGTGAGTTGAATTCTTGCCATTTTATCGTCACACTACTGTGTTCTGATCCCTGATGACAAAATACAGAGACGTTTCAATTCTTTCTGTTTCTTACATAAAGGGAACCCAATGTCATGGGGGGTCATGGGAATTTATGACCCTGGCCTTTTGCCAGCTCACCCACAGTCATCACTTATGTTTGAAAATGCAAAAATTGAATTTAATATGTCAGTTGTTCCTAAAGGCCATTTGACAAAATATTCCCTTGCATAGATGGCCAAGGCCCTATTGAAGGAAGCACGGGAGTTAATCCGCAACAAGGACTATGAGGGAGCTCTGGCCATGGCGCAGCGTGCGTTGGAGTCAGACGCGGGCAATTACATGGCCCTGGTCATGGTCGGGGCGGCGGCGCAGGAGCTCCCCGGTCGCTACGAGACGGGCATCCAAGCGCTGCGGGAAGCGGCGGCCAAGAACCCAGAGCAGCCGGTGGCGTGGCAGGGCCTGGCCTCCCTGTACGACAAGGTCGGCGATCACCTGTCCCTGGTCGAGGTCTACGAGAAACTCCTCTCTCTCGTCGGATCCGATCGGGAGAAGGCGGTGGAGTACGGGATGAAGCTGGGCCGGGCGCACCAGAAGTGCGGGTCCCTCGACGACGCCGTCGCCTCGCTCCTCGCCGTGCTGGAGCCAGCCAAGGCGACAGGGAAGCAGGATTCGTTGTGGAGGGCGCTGCTGGACGCCTTGAAAGGGCAGAAATCCCTGAATCAGGAGCATCGCCTCTTGCTGGAGGAGGTCCTGGCCGAGGTCCGAGACGGCGACGCGGACGAGCTCCTCTACCTCGAGACGCTGAAACTGAACCAGAAGTGGGACAGAGCGAGCGAGCAGGCCCGGGCCGTCATCGGGAAGTCCCCGGCGCTAGGGAACAGGGTCCTGGAGGCCATCGCGGAGGGCGTGGTCAAGGGGCGTATCTCATGGGACCTGTCCGACTTTCGGGATCTCCCCGGTGAGGGCTGGGTGGCTCTGGTGAAAGCGAGAAAATCCTTTCAGGAGTGCAGATTCGTGGAAGCTCGGTCCCTGGCCGAAGAGGGTCTGAAGACGTGTCGGTCCTCGGAAGGGTTCCTCGTGTTGTTGGAGATCCAAACAAGGCAGTGCGACTGGACCGCAGCGTGCGAATCTGCGCAGCAATGCTTGCAGATGGATTCGGCGTGCCAGACGGCTATTCTCAGAGCGGCACGTGCCTTTCTTCGCTTGGAGAAACCGAACGAGACGCAAAATATGTTGCAGAAGCTGCCTTCGTCATCTCCAGAGGCGGAAATCCTGGAAGCAAAGGCTCGTTTGAACCTCGGAGATCTAGAAGGCACCGAAAAATTGCTCGTCGGCCGCACTGATGTCGACGCATCGATGCTGAAGATCGATATCGCTCTCGACAAGTCCGAAAATGTGGACGATTTGCTCGTCCGGCTCGAATCAAATCACGGAAGCGACCGAAAGGCATTGTTATTCCTCGGTCGACACTACCTGAACCGCAACGAAACGACGGAGGCCCTGAAGCGCCTCCTCCAGGCCGCAAAAGCCGACCCCTTCGACATGGAAGTGTTCCTAGCGCTCGGCCACGCGTACCGACGGACCGGGACCGGAGCCGAGAGAGCCGTGAAGTGTTACCAGAAGGCGCTGAGCTTCAACCCGACCCACGAGGAGGCGGGAGTCTCGCTCTTCGACACCCTCGCGAGGGACCTGAAGCGAGTGGACGAAGCGGAGAGGTACGTGAATGGGGTGTGCGAGGCGAGGTCCCCTCACGAGGCGCGGTGGGCGTGGCTCCGTCGCGTCCGGTTCCTCCCCCCGTCGGAGAGCGTGCTCATCGTTCAGAGACTCCTTCGGGCGGATCCGACGAGTTACATCCTGTGGAACTCCCTCGGGGATGCGTACATGTGGAGGGGGGCGTACGCGTCTGCCTTGAAGGCATTCGGGAAGTCGGTGGAACTGAAGGAGAATCTGTACGCGCGGTATCGCACGTGTCACCTCAAGCAGAAGCTGAGTCAGTTGGACGAGGCCGTGCGAGACCTCCGGGATCTGTTGGCGCAGCATCCTGGATATCTGCCGGCCTTGGTGGCTCTGGCTGAGTCTCTGCTCCTGCTAGCACGGAAGGACACATCCAAGGCGTTGGACGAATGCGCCGCGGACAAGCTGCAGGAGGCCATGGAGGTGCTGGAGAAAGCCCTGGAGCGGCGGAAGGACCTGGTGTGCGTGTGGAAGACCCTGGCCGAGTGTCTGGTCCTGGCCTCCAGGATCTCCAGCGTGAGAGTCCCGGCGTGGCTGTCCGCGAAAGGGGAGAAGCGAGACCTCCTGCTCCTCGCAGCCAAGTGCCTCTGGAAGTGCATTTCCCTCGCGGAAGGCCTCGCGTCGCTTTGGGTCGATTTTGGGATCGTGTTGTGCGAGGCGTGCGACTCCGGAGGGGAGTTCGGCGAGCAGGCCGAGGCTGCCCTGAGGAAGAGCCTGGTCCTGGACCCGAGGGACTGGAGGGCCTGGAATGCCCTCGGATACCTGAAAACCAAGTCGAAGAACTACCCAGAGGCACAGCACTGTTACATACAAGCCATCAGATGCCAATCGACGAATCCCGTCCCGTGGACCAACCTCGGGACGTTGTACCTCTCGACAGGAGAAGTCGTTCTGGCGAATCGGGCCTTCTCGGCGGCCCAGGCCCACGAGCCGTCGTATCCGATGTGCTGGGCCGGACAGGCCTTCGTCGCCCGACGGGTGGCTCGAGACAAGGCGTTGGACGTGTTTCGGCATTGTGCCGCCCAGCTGGAATTTTTCCCCGCCGGTTCGCTCGGCTACGTTCACTCGGTCGCAGAGAAGCTCATCGACGCCCAGTTTCGCCGGACGCCGGATTACCAGGTGGAGATCGTGAGGTTGCACGCAGTCGCAGTGGCCTGCGATGCGGCGACCCGAGTCGTCACTCGAACGCCGTCCAGCTCCTGCGCGTGGAACCTTTTGGGATTGATGTCGGAACGCTTCGGGACGCTAAGACACGCGGCGTCCTGCTTTACGAAGGCGCTTGAATTGGACCCCGAGAACGACACGGTGAAGCGAAACCTGGTCCGGGCTCTGGTCCGAGCCGGCCGTCACGAAGAAGCCGTGAACCTTGCGGCGGGACTCGACCCGGCCGACTTCCACACCCGATGCTGGCTGGCCCTGGCCCTCCACTCGCATGGGAAAGCGGATGAATCCTACGCCGCTTACGAGTCTGCGCTTAACCTCTCCTCGGGATCGGAGCGAGGCCTTGCCCTGGTCGCCATGGGGACGACGGCGTACGTCTCCCGGGGACCCGAGGCGGCCAAGGGCCTCCTGTTCCAGAGCTCCCAGACCGACGACCCGCCCAAGGAGGGATTGACGGCTCTCTGCGCCTTGGGCATCCTCTCCTCCGACGCCCTCCTCGCTTCCGCGGCCCTCGAGGAACTCCGGGTTCGTGGAGAAGGCGAGGACGCGACCGCGTTCGAAGCGTGTCTGTCCGTGATGCGCGGCGACGCGACGCGCGCCGTTCGCACAATCGCCAAGGCCATCCACGAGCACCCCGATCGCAGCACGCTCTGGAAATTCCTATCCCTCTTTCTCGTTCGGTTCCGCAGCGGGAACGCCCGAGTGGCCGGACGGTGTGCGTTCGTGGCGGCCCACCTGTCGCCTCAGGACCGAAGGGTGTTGCCCCTCGCGGCCCTCTGCCACCTGATGGCCGGGGACGGTCCCGGGGGTCTCCGCATCGCCCAGACCGCCCTGCACCTCTACCCCGACGACCTGAAGATGTGGTGCACGCTCCTGGCCGCCTACCACGCGGTGCATCGGGCCTCGCGGCTGCCCTGGGCCGCCCGGCTCGTCAAGACCCTGCGGAGGCGCAAGGACGTCGCGAGGCCGCTGTCCCAGTGGCTCGCCTGCTACGAACGGGGCATCGCCATGGACCTGAAGGCATGAAAGCGATGTGCTCGCTCGGGTTCGCTCAATGTTTCTGTTGTGATTCTTGTGAATATCAATGAATTGGAACCATGAATTATAAGTTTGCCTTTTTCGAATTTTCTTTTCGTCTTTCATGGATTCTAATTTCATGTGACACATGCGTGACGCCTTGGATACACACGGACGGATATGTAACCGTAGATAAGTAATAAAAATTGAACTTGTGTGCATTTGTGGCGATTATAAGATTCTTTTCCAACGCGATTAGCGCATAACTGACCTCTATGAAGCAAGAAGAACTTGTAACTATATTTTGCATGTCGATTCTATCCTTTTCCATCCGATTCCGCTTTCTCGATGTTGAGTAGGGAACGTAACCTTTATCACGCGAAATGGATTTTTATCATGAATGCGTTTCCGGGGTTGGAAAAGCATTCCTCGTTCAGCAATTCCCTCGATTTCGCGCATTTTCATGCGTAGTTCAAAATTTTTTTGGATTGGGTTTGGTTCGCCCCACTAGTCACGTTTTGGGCAGTTACCTTGACACTTGACTTTGCAGTTAACAGGCGCTGGAGAAGCGCCTTCCTTTCAGAAGATTCCTCTTCCGCGGGATGAGGACTACGGAGCGAGATGAGGCGAGGAGGAACCAAACTCCAGCATGATCGATTTAAGCGAGGCACTCCGTAGTGGATCAGTCGTCCTCCCTGCTGAGGAATACGACAGTCGCGTGGATCCCGGGTAATCGCTATGTTGGGAGCATGGTATGGGAGCATGGGAGTATGGCAATCTAATGTTTCGTAGTGTGTTGGACCCCTTCATGGCATAATCGAACCTGCCACCAGACACAGCGTCTTTTCAGCACGATGCCTCGATGGGGCTCAATTATTTTTATTATTATATTCGCAGCAGATCTAAAGTGACTGAAAATTTTCTGAAACTCTTCTGTAAAGAGCTGGAACTCTTGGAAGAGGCCAGTGACAACTTTGTATAATCGTCTCAGCATTGGAAATGGGGAAAGACTTGGCCTTTTTAAGCTATCGAATTGTTACACTCGATCAGGGATGGACCTACAAACTGAGCTGAGTCACTACAGCAACTTTTGCGAGAAGCGAACATTTTGGTAAAACTATTTTGTCCCAAAGTGACCGCGGCGTGATTGAATGGGAACCAAACGGCGAATAGAAAGTGGTCGAACAACAATCAGAAGAGTTTGGGGGGGGGGGGGGGTGCATGTCAGGTCACATCGAGTTCAGAACGCCGTTCGTGCTGACTTCATGCGAACTGACGTGACCCCTAAATTCATCCGATTTCAATATGAAAAATAATCACAAATATCGGGAAGATTGCGTCAAAATGAATGAATACCGGTAGGCCAAGTGTAACAAAAACCACGGTGAATCTGAGGTCTCGGACTCCTGAGTCGAGTCAAAATAAACACAGCATTCATTCATTAAGGGGTAAGTTGCAAATTAAAAGTTGAAAGCAGCCTCCAAATTCCTTGCCATTTTGAATAGTTATTACAATTGCTGGAGATTTAGCTGAAATAAAGTAACAGTTTGCTCCCAAGTACTCCTGCTGGACGTGCTCGCACGTGTAATGCAATTATATTTCACCCGATGGTATTGGATATTTTATTGATGGCTTTAAGATCCAATTATTTTTGGACCGTCCTGTGGATATGAAAATCTGTACAACAGTTGTAACATAACACTTGCGTAACGTAACATGACATAAACAGAGAAACACTTAATTCAGCATTTGACAGGAACAATAGAATTGAAACACCTGAGGAAAGCTCGGACCTGCATGATGTAAACATTGAGAAAACGTAGACTCACCGTTCCGGTATCGAATCCACCAATGCCATTCGATAATACTGAAAAATGAAAGACATTGAAACTTGAATGCCTTAGCGCCATTATGCAGACTGAGGAGGTGCTTCGAGTCTGAATGTCTTACACAGTCTAGTGTAAATAGTTCATAGGAACTGACACGACTACTAAATTCTTCTAATTACAATCTAAAGGAGTGTCACATATGGGAAAGAATGCATCATTATGGATATGTGGGCAAAGTGTGAGGAAACCACGGTATTCAGCAAGTGCCAGAGGTATCGGACTCTTGCGTCGAAATAAAACAAAAATAGCCATTTATTCTTCAAGTTGCGATATTCATTGAACGAGACCAAGGCGGCTTTAAACATTTTTTACTACAATTGCTGGGAATTTAGCTAAAATAAAATAAAAGTTTGCAGCCACGTACCTCCGTTAGACGGTAAAGAGACAAAAGTCCTGCATATGGGAAAGATTTCACCTTAGGCGTTGCTGCCAGCAAATATGGAAAAAAAGTGAATTGTGCCTAATGACCAGTGACGGCTCGTCGGTGAAAATACTGGGTAGGCAGCAATGGTGCAATTAGGTGGAAGGCAGTCGCCCTCTATGATTCCTCTGCTTTCATATGATCCTAATGACCATGGGAGCGTCCTCCTATGATAGAAGCAGGCACATTCGCCACCTTCTCTATTTCGCTCAGCATCCCCCCCCCCCCTTCACACCCCACCCTCCCCCCTTCGCCCCATTGGCTACGGGCTTGAAATGAGTTGAGAAATTTGGATTCAATAATTGTAAATCTAATTCTAAGGTAATCAGAACAAGTCATTAAAGAAATTACTTGCAATCAACAGGAGAAGTGACTAAGATTTAAACCGAGGAATGCAATTATACCATTTGAAGACACCACCGGGATGCGAAACACTGTCAGTCTAAACAATACATATCACTGTGAAACTGCTACTTCCGGGAGAGAGCTTCAACGAAAGTGGATTGGAATGAGGAACTGGGACCCAGGACTGATTGAAGCCTGTTCCGAAATGATTCCTTAGTCAGTCTGAATGATAATGCTTATAGTAGGTCTGATCAGGTGACAACGAAAGAGGCTTCCACAAGCACGTTCTTCTGAGCAGAGGGCGTGAGCAAGCGATTCTCATCCTTCCCTTCCTGCGCAAGGAGTAACTGCGCAACGTAGGCAAGCCTACTCTCGCTCATTCCAGGGTTAGGTTCTCTTTCTCCCTCTCGTTCCTGCATTTGACTCTGGGATTTGAGCCTGGCCAGCGGAGGCAGGCAGCGCCCTGCCTACTCTCAACGCATAATCTCATTCTGTTTTTGCCTTGCATTGGGAAAACTCTTTCCAGTTGTTCTAATCGAAGGATAAGCTTGCAAATATTATTTTGATAACTCTTATTTTAAACTGGGTAGGCACTGCCTACCCTGCCTACCCTGACGAGCCGCCACTGCTAATGACACAAAATTGCTGTTTCGCCTGCAAGGCCTTTTCCCAGCAAACAAACTAACATTCAATCAACGATCTATGAGCGTTAAATTTGAACCTTCCCACTATTGTGGTGGCGTTGCATCTAGCATTGTCAATATTTCCATGTCTCTTATCGGAATACTTGGATGAACGTTGAAATTGAACGCTGGCTGAACGTTGGGCCAACATTGTCATGTCACTTATTGGAATGCTCACTCCGACCCTAGTAGCATCCCAATATTGAATCAATAATGACGGCCAAGAAATGCATACATATTTCTGCAAGTACTAACTTTAGTAATTCCCAGAAAATGATCCTCCCTTTCCTGCTTTTCTTCCTTCCCTCTGGGAGCAGAATAATGATTCTGCACCTAATCGAATTTTTAGAAACGTCAGTTCGGGCTTAGGAGTACACATACATATGCAAGGGGCTCTCACAGGGAGGATGAGCATGTTTATCGCCTGGGCTCCATGGTTCTGTCTTGAATATGGGGATATTAAATGATTAAGTGTCCGATATTATTGATTGCTACAATGAGACTAGGAGAAACACGAGGTGAGGTACTAAATACTCCTGTGAGGGATGATTCCATGGACGGAGGGAAGCGTACTTTTGTATACTGTGCGAAAAGCGAGATCCATGCCTCTATCTAGCGGCCAAGAAGAGAACTTCAACATTTCCACAAAAAATCCATCTACATGCAATTCGGGCACATTGGATCATCTCGTCAGTCTGATATTGGATTGATGACGGAATGAAATATTGAAAAGCCTATATTTAGCCGGTAATGGCAATAATGGCAAGATGTATATCGACATCACGCCCAATGTTAGTCCAGCAATAAGCCAGTATCTGGTGTTACTGGGGCGGTAACACTGGGTGAATTCTTGGCCGTTTCTTGAAAAAAAAAGTTTTTCCCTATTTGGCGATGCATGCTCCATGCTACTACCGCAACTAATATACAAAAATGCGATTTAAGAAGGGCATCATATGCGGTAACGCTGCTAAGACAACGTCACACAACGTTGGATTTGGTTCAATATTGATGACACTATTGATGACACAGGCTGAACGTTCCCACAACGCCATTGTTTGCTGGGTTCAGTGTCCTTGGAACAAACGGATAAGGGGTTTGCCAGTGATGAAAAATGGTGGCGCTTTTCAATAGATATATGCTTGCGTGCTGAACGAAATTAGGAAGATTCAGTGGAACTGATATATTTCATTCCATTTGCCAGGATATTCCACCTCGTTCACGTTCAGTCGATTCTCACTTATGGGAATACCTCGATAAAACCTCTTCGATCCATTGGATGAACCTGAAAACGAAAAGGTCGAAAAACGTTTCGGGTATCCATCATGTTCGACGAAAAAAGGTGAGGTGCATGAAAATAATTGAGGAGAAAATAGCAGGGTCTCACTGATTGACTTTGGTGAAAATGCCATACTGTCCAGGTCGCCTCAGCGAACATTTCTGTTTCTGGAAAAAGTGACTCACGATCCCTTCCACCGTCCAGTGACTGTCATTGGAAGAACGGGAGAAGAAAACCATGGGATTCCCGGAATCCCCAGGACACACTGTTCGATAATCTGTAAAGTGGCAAACATCGTCATTATTGATAACCCGTTCATCTTTCGTGAATAGAAAGTAAAAAATGAGGAGAGGTGACTCGGAAAAAAGCTCAATTTTAACAAACTGAAAATACAG